GCGTAGGATGACTAAATTAATACATAGCATTAGAAATCTTCCTTATGAAGAAAGACTGAAGACTCTTAAGTTACATTCACTTGTTAGACGAAGAATGAGGGGAGACCTGATCGAAGTGTATAAGTGGAAGATAGGTATTAATAAAGGGGATATTAATAAGGTCTTGAGGATGTCTCTCCAAGAGAGAACCCGCAGTAATGGATTTAAATTAGATAAGTTTAGATTTAGAAAGGACATAGGAAAGTATTGGTTTGGAAATAGGGTAGTTGATGAGTGGAACAGTCTACCTAGTTGGGTTATTGAGGCTGGGACTTTGGGTAGTTTCAAATTTAGGTTGGATAAGTACATGAATGGGAGGGGCTGGATTTAAGTGGGACTTTCACATCAGAGCTTATTTCTTGGGTGGCATTGAAAATTGGGGTGGGCAAATGTTTGTTAGTGGGATGAATTGTAAAGGACCTGCCTAGTATGGGCCTACAGACCTCCTGCAGTGTTCCTCCTTTCTTATGTTCTTATGTTAAGAAACTGTGGCCAGAATGTGTAGACCAAAGGGAATTTTAAGGGTTTGAGGCTAACCCTGGGAATCCTATACCAGTTGAGGAATCCATTGTGGCATTGGGAAAGTCCTTGGGGTTGGAGGTTAGTGGGGATGATGTGGAAGAGTTGGTGGAGGAGGACAATGAAGAACTAACCACTGATGAGCTGCTAGATCATCTTCATCAGCATGAGGCCAGACCTGAGGAAACTGCTTCGGAGGAGGGGAGAGAGAAATTGAAGAAGTTGCCTACTTCAAAGATTAAGGAAATGTGTGCAATGTGACTTAAAGTGCAAACTTTTTTTTGATGACAATCACCCTAACACAGCTATTGCAAGCCATGCTGGTGACTATTACACTGACAATGTTGTGAACCACTTTAGGAAAGTCATAAAGGAACGGGAGGTACAGGCCTCTATGGACAGATATGTTGTGCGACGTAAGTCCAGTGACTCTGAAGCTGGTCCTAGTGGCATTAAAAGAAGAAGGGAAGTAATCCCGGAAAAGAACTTGACACCTCAAGTCTTAATGGAAGGGGATTCCCCTTCTAAACACTAAGACTCTCCTCCTCCCATCCCGTCAGTCATCACCAGATCTTCAATAAAGGTAAGTGTCAGGTAACTGTGCATGTCTTTTTCAGTTTTTGTGTATTAAAATTAATGTTTCATGTGGTAAAATTTTTTTTTTCATACTTTGGGGTGTCTTGCACGGATGAATTTGATTTCCATTATTTCTTATGGGGAAAATTCATTCGCATAACAATAATTTCGCGTAACAATGAGCTCTCAGGAACGGATTAATATCGTTATGCGGGGGTCCACTGTAATAATAATATTAATATAATAATTATTATTATTATTACAAATGTACTAATAATAATACACTGCAGCAGACCTGTTGGCCCATACTAGGCAGGTCCTTCACAATCCATCCCACTAACAGAATATTTGCCCAACTCAATTTTCAATGCTACCCAAGCAATAAGCTTTGATAATTCTATTTACTCATGTGCATGTCCCACTCACATCCAACCCCTCTCACTCGTGTATTTATCCAACACAAATTTGAAACTACCCAAGGTTTCAGCCTCAATAACCATGTGATGAATGGTTTGAAAACCAACAAGTTGAAGAATTGAGACACTTATGCAACATATGGGAATCTTTATTGAAGAAACGTTTCGCTACACAGTGGCTTCATCAGTCGAATACAAAGTAGAAATCGGTAAGGAGAGAAGGAGTATGAGGTAATCAGTCCCTCAGCCTGGAATCGATGTGTTCAGTCCATCACTCCTCTGGCCTGTTCTGCCCTGCTCTTCCCTGCCCTGTCATGCCAATGCCTCTGGATATTTCAGGCTGAAAAAGCCTGCGCCTGTTTATCACTCAAAAAACACCAGAGTGTTTAAACAACATAAAGTATCAGGATCAAGTTGGTAGTGTTGACACCAGAGCGTTTAAACAACATAAAGTATCAGGATCAAGTTGGTAGTGTTGACACCAGAGTGTTTAAACAACATAAAGTATCAGGATCAGGTTGGGTGTCTTGTGTCTTCTTGGAATAAATTACAGTTGACCCTCGACATTCGATACTAATCCGTTCCTGAGAGCTATCGAATGTCGAAAATATCGAAAGTCAAATTAATTTTTCCCATAAGAAATAATGGAAATCAAATTAATCCACGCAAGACACCCAAAAGTATGAAAAAAAAATTTTTACCACATGAGATATTAAGTTTAATGCAATAGAATAATTAGAATAACAACAATAACAATAGATTAATAACAATAGAATAATTAACACTTACCTTTAATGAAGATCTGGTGATGTTGATGGGATGGGAGGAGGGGAGAGTGTGGATGGTGTTAGTGTTTAGACGGGGAATCCCCTTCCATTAGGACTTGAGGTAGCAAGTCCTTTTCCGGGGTTACTTCCCTTCTTCTTTTAATGCCACTAGGACCAGCTTCAGAGTCACTGGACTTACGTCGCACACCATATCTGTCCATAGAGGCCTGTACCTCTCGTTCCTTTATGACTTTCCTAAAATGGTTCACAACATTGTCAGTGTAATAGTCACCAGCATGGCTTGCAATAGCTGTGTTAGGGTGATTGTCATCAAAAAAGGTTTGCACTTCAAGCCACTTTGCACACATTTCCTTAATCTTTGAAGTAGGCAACTTCTTCAATTTCTCTCTCCCCTCCTCCAAAGCAGTTTCCTCAGGTCTGGCCTCATGCTGATGAAGATGATCTAGCAGCTCATCAGTGGTTAGTTCGTCATTGTCCTCCTCCACCAACTCTTCCACATCCTCCCCACTAACCTCCAACCCCAAGGACTTCCCCAATGCCACAATGGATTCCTCAACTGGCATAGGATTCTCAGGGTTAGCCTCAAACCCTTCAAAATCCCTTTTGTCTACACATTCTGGCCACAGTTTTTTCCAAGAAGAGTTCAAGGTCCTCTTAGTCACTTCCTCCCAAGCCTTAGCTATAAGGTTTATACAATTCAGGATATTAAAGTGATCCTTCTAAAACTCTTTTAGAGTCATTTGAGTTTCTGTGGTCACTACAAAGCACTTTTGAAACATAGATTTTATGTATAGTTTCTTGAAGTTGGAAATGACCTGCTGGTCCATGGGCTGCAGGAGAGGAGTGGCATTAGGAGGCAAAAACTTGACCTTAATGAAGCTCTTGTCCCTAGAAAGTCGCTCTGCCAAGTCTGTAGGATGATGAGGGGCATTGTCTAATACTAGGAGGCACTTAAGGTCTAATTTCTTTTCAATTAGGTAATTTTTCACAGTGGGGGCAAATGCATGGTGTAACCAGTCATAGAAAAAGTCCCTAGTGACCCTTGCCTTAGTGTTTGCCCTCCACAGCACACACAAATTAGCCTTGAGGATATTCTTTTGCCTGAATGCTCTGGGAGTTTCTGAGTGATGCACCAATTAAGGCTTCACTTTGCAATCACCACTAGCATTGGCACACATGAGAAGAGTAAGCCTGTCTTTCATAGGCTTATGTCCTGGGAGTGCCTTTTCCTCCTCAGTAATGTAGGTCCTGCTTGGCAATTTCTTCCAAAACAGGCCTGTTTTGTCACAATTAAACACTTGTTCAGGTTTCAATCCTTCAGCCTCTATGTACTCCTTGAATTCATGCACATATTTTTCAGCTGCTTTTTGGTCTGAACTGGCAGCCTCACCATGCCTAATCACACTATGTATGCCACTACGATTCTTAAATCTTTCAAACCAACCTTTGCTGGCCTTAAATTCACTCACATCACCACTAGTTGCAGGCATTTTTCTAATTAAATCGTCATGCAACTTCCTAGCCTTTTCACAAATGATCGCTTGAGAGATGCTATCTCCTGCTATCTGTTTTTCATTTATCCACACCAATAACAGTTTCTCAACATCTTCTAACACTAGCGATCTCTGTTTCGAAAACAAAGTTGCACCTTTTGCAAGAACAGCTTCCTTGATTGCCGTTTTCCTGCTCACTATAGAAGAGATGGTTGATTGGGGTTTACTATACAACCTGGCCCGCTCCGACACACGCACTCCACTTTTGTACTTTACAATTATCTCTTTCTTCATTTCAATAGTTATTAGTGCCTTTTTTCTCGAAGGGTTGGCACTAGAAGCTTTCTTGGGGCCCATGGTTACTTATTTTGCCAAAACTAGCACCAAAAACAGTGATAATATGGAATGTACCGAATGTATCCTTAGATGCACGCACACTGGCATGCTTGTAAACACTGGCACACACGGGGCAGTTCAGGCCACACGTGGACACGTCTCGTACGAATTGTATCGAATGTCGGGTTTTCCATCGAATGTCGAGGCGAAATTTTTTAGTTAAAATGCATTGAATGTCGGATTTATCGAATGTCGATGCCATCGAATGTCGGGGGTCCACTGTACAGTGGACCCCCGGTTAACGATATTTTTTCACTCCAGAAGTATGTTCAGGTGCCAGTACTGACCGAATTTGTTCCTGGTGGCCTGGTGGTTAACGCTCTCGCTTCACACGGCGAGGGCCTGGGTTCGATTCCCAGCCAGAGTAGAAACATTGGACGTGTTTCTTTAAACCTGTTGTCTATGTTCCCCATCAGTAAAATGGGTACCTGGGTGTTAGTCGACTGGTGTGGGTCGCATCCTGGGACACTGACCTAAGGAGGCCTGGTCACAGACCGGGCCGCGGGGGCGTTGACCCCCGGAACTCTCTCCAGGTAATCCAGGTAATTTCAGACCCCCAAACATACATGTACAAATGCACTTACATAATTGGTCGCATTCGGAGGTAATTGTTATGCGGGGGTCCACTGTACTATAAAATGATGTTTTTTGGAGTTTGGGTTAAAATAGTTATGAGGTACAGTGTACCTTTCTTAGCGTCTGCTGCTTTGAGAAATTTTAACTAAATTTTTCTACATTTTATTTTAGAAAAAATGTTTTTATTATTTTTTCAGTTAGTGGTGAAACTGATGAGAGATCGTATGTTGTGGTAGTGATATCCTCAGGTTCGCAACTCCCCTCACCTATTGGCTACATCAATAATAATAGATATCAGTGTGGAAGAAGAAGAAGCAGCAGGAGTGTGTGGGTTGAACTTCAGACTGAACCTTCTCTTATGCTTCATTCTCTAAGAATACCAGACAAGAATGTTTCTCTTAGTGAAGTAAATCTCGTTCTTTATGACTCTCAAGAAATATGGGAGTCTGAGCTCATTTGTAAAAAGTATTTCTTTGAGGAAGATAAGGACCATACAAAGAACATTGTGCCATATTTTGTTCATTGTGTCAAAGAGAATTATCAAGAAAGAGAAACATCAAAGCTGAATGAGGGTTTCATCGCATTAATGCAGTTAATAATCAAGTTACTTCTTATTTTGTCGTGGATTCCAAAATTTGCTCTGGAAAACCTTCATTCAGTATTAGTGGTGAAGTTTGATTATTCAAGTAGCGCCCTGCAGCAGTTGCTACTGAGGATCTCCCAGTTTGAGAAGCTGCAACAAGAATTAAAAGCCAAGAAAAGAACCTTACTGTTGGGTCGCCTGGTCACCATGATAATAGTGGATATATTGATTGGAGTTGCTGTAGCATGTATAATCAGCAATTATGCATCAGTGAATGACATATACACTTACTTTTGTAGTTGGACGAAGGTATGTTTTTAGTGTTAATTCTAGTTTGTAGTTTTTAAACAGAATTTAAAGTAATTTTTCTTCCAGTATTTTCACAACAATGCATGTCAACATAACTGGCCTATAGTATAAAAGATTTTCCCATTTTTTTTTTTTTAATATCAACACATTGTACCATTATCCACTTGTTCACTAGTTCACCTGCTTGTAGTGAAATCCCAAAATTTTTTGAATGGCTAACATAGTTGTCTGAATATTCTTGGAAGATCCTTGATGTTATCTCATCTGATTTTATTGCCTTTTTTTGTCTACATGAGGTGCACTAAATTGTTGCTTATTTGACAGTTGATTATTTTTGCTGCCAGTAGTATTATTCAACCTAACAAAATATTGCATAATTCAGTGATCACTGGAGAACTGCTACCTCAATCCGGTGGTTGGTCACCATATTAACAGCAGGGGTCATCCCAAGAAGGGTTGGAGGGAGGGGGTAATAGAGGTTTTCAGTACCAGTGACCAGTGAGTGTAGACAAGTACTTTTTAACTTTCTCTTGTACTGTGAGCAAGAAAATATTTATGAAGAGAATAAAGGAAAACAGTTAGCTGGACTTGAGTTCTGAAGATATGAAGTACAGTGCCTGCTCTCTTAACTTCTTCATTCAGAAGTCTCAAAATCTCAGCTTTTTTTTTTTTATAGTGCACATTTTTTGTGATGGTAATGAAGAAAAACAAATTCCCATCAGTAATTATCGAGATAAGAATTGATGGTTGATGCCCCATTGATGGCAACATCAATGATTGTTGCCTACACCTTATTATTTTATCTAGTGTATTTTTTCTGGGGGTTTTCTGATATTTTACATTTATCAGTAACTTTTGTGGCCCATGAGACTTATCACTCACAATGTACATATGGCCACCCTTGTAAACAGCAACTTTTTACTTGTTCTTGAAATATTCTTAACACTTTCATTGTCAGTCCCATAATATTATGGCTTGCAAGCCAATATCGGTCTCTTAACCCCTTGACTGTCGCAACCCCAAATCCTGAGATGTCTCTTGGTGTCGCAAAATTTCCAAAAAAAAAAAAAAATTATTTATTCTTGTGAAATGATAGAGAATCTTTTCCCGATTGTAATGACACCAAAAGAACAAAATTTGATGGAAAACTGACAGAATTACGCTCTCGCGAAGTTAGCGACCTCGGCGATATTTACGAATCGGCGATTTCGCCCACTTTGAGCCCTATTTTCAGCTAATTCCATTGTTACAGTCGACCAAACTCATGGCGATTTCTTTAAAACTCCATTTTTTCTATCAATTGAGTACAAGAAACTGCCCATTTACCGATTTCAACTACCTAATAACATGGTCAGAAATTTGCAATTTGGCCAATTTCACAAAAATTAAAAAATATGACAATTTCAAAATAGGGTCTAGAATGAACAGTGAAGATATTCCTGGCTCTAAAATAACGTTTTCTTTGTTCATCAGTCACGTATCCAGGCCCTTCTGATATTACTCTTGCTTTTTATTTTGAATTTTTATTCAAACAAAAAATAGAAGATTTACTGTTATGCAGACTACTGCAATATTGTAATAATTGTATAAATAATGTCAACCCATTCATGACTGCATATTAGAATGGCTACTTGGACATTTATTGGAAAATGACATCATTTGTTTACTTTTGAACATCGGCAAAAATCAAACATTTCCCCTACTTTGAGCTCCATTTCAAGGTTCTTTTCATAGTAAAACCAATCAAAATCACTTCTATTTCTATAATATGTTTTCCATTCCCTCAACTACCACTCCCTCAACTACCTCAACTCATACCTCAGCAACAGAAGCCAATATGTGTACACAAATGGGGCAAACTCTTCTCTTTCTCCTATACATAAATGACCTACCAAATGCTTCGCAATTACTCAAACCCACACTATTTGCAGATGACACTACATACATCTACTCTCACCCGAGCCCAGTCATGCTAGCCAATACTGTAAATACCGAATTACAGAAAATATCTACCTGGATGAGGACTAACAAACTTGCACTAAACATTGACAAAACCTACTTCATTCAGTTTGGTAACAGAGCTACAAATGTCCCTCTTAACATAATGATAAACGGATCACCTATCACAAAGCTAACAGAGGGAAAATTCTTAGGAATCCACCTTGATAATAGACTCAAATTTCATGCACATGTACAACAAATTTCTAAGAAAATTTCCAAGACCGTAGGCATACTATCGAAGATACGGTACTGTGTTCCACAGTCAGCCCTCCTGGCCCTATATCACTCTCTTATTTACCCCTATCTCACCTATGGAATTTGTGCATGGGGCTCAACAACAATTAACCATCTCAGACCACTAATTACCCAACAAAAGACTGCAGTCAGAATAACAAATTCCCACTACAGGCAGCACACTCCACCAATATTAAAAACACTAAACCTACTCACCATACGGAACATCCATACTTATTACTGCTCCTATTACATACATGGAACACTTAACTCTGATATTAACCCTCCCCTCAAACATCTCCTTGCCAACCTCAACAGAACACATGACCACAACACAAGGCACAGATCACTCTTTGATGTTCCTCGTGTCCATCTCACACTATGCAAAAACTCAGTGCACATAAAAGGCCCTAAAATCTGGAATTCATTACCTGTAAATATAAAAGAAACACTACCTGTTTATAAATTCAAGTCTCTTCTCAAAGATCACTTACTCACCCAAAACCAAATAAATACTGAATAACTGAACCTTATAAATTGTATATCTTAAATGTTTCTCACAAGTGGCTTTGGCATGCTGCTCTTACCTGTATTTTTTGTACCTCTGTATGTATGTTCAAATTATTAAATAAAGAAATAAATAAATAAATAAATAAATAAATAAATAAATGAGACCAAGAAAACGAGAATCCAACCATAAATGCTATATGAAAATAGACCACAAAGTCGGCATTTTAATTAAAAAAAAAACGGTTGGTGTTTTTTTTCTCATTATGCACTGCGTGCTGCAGGATTGTTTTTTAATTGGTGCACACTGACCACACGGATCCATTCTCTCACATGTGGGCCTACCAGCTTTCTCCTTCTTGATTTGAAGCTGCTAGAATTTATGAGTATACAGTGGTTCCTCGATAATCGTGAGGCTCGATAGTCGTAATTTTCGAAAATCGTAACAATATTTTCGTCAAAACATTGGCTCGCTAATCGTAGTTTGACTTACGAATAGTCATTCATCTGGGACGCGTACTCACGCTCTAAGCCGCCCTGGCCTTCCTTCCCAGCCAGTGTGCCATTGTTTACCAGTGAGCGACGGTCCCCTCACTTGCTCATACGAAATATTTCATAATATTCCATTCATTTTAGTGCTTGCAACTACTGAATAAGCTGCCATGGTTCCAAAGAAAGCTCCTAGTGCCAAGCCTTTGGCAAAGAAGGTGAGAAATACAATTGAATTTAAGAAAAACATTTAACAATATGAAAGTGGTGTACGTATGGCCGAACTGGCCAAGATGTATAACAAACCCCATACAACCATAGCTTCCATCGTGGCCAAGAAAAAGGAAATCAAGGAAGCTGTTGTTACAAAGGGGATAAATATGCTGACAAAAATGAGATCACCAGTACTCAAAGAGGTTGAGAAGTTACTATTGGTGTGGATAAATGAGAAACAATTAGCAGGAGATAGTCTTATGACGCCAATTATTTGTGAAAAGGCTAGGCAGTTGCACGACGATCTGGTAAAGAAATTGCTTGCAACAAGCACTGATATTTGTGAATTTAAGGCCAGCAAAGGTTGGTTTGAGAGATTTAGGAACCGTAGTGGCATACACAGTGTGGTAAGGCATGGTGAGGCTGCCAGTTCGGACCAAAAAGCGGCTGAAAAATATGTGCATGAATTCAAGGAGTACATAGAGGCTGAAGGACTGAAACCTGAACAAGTGTTCAATTGTGACAAAACAGGCCTCTTTTGGAAGAAAATGCCAAAGAGGACCTACATTACTCAGGAGGAAAGGGGACTGCCAGTACACAAGCCTATGAAAGACAGGCTGACGCTCATGTTCTGTGCTAATGCTAGTGGGGATTTCAGAGCGAAGACATTACTAGTGTACCATTCTGAAAATCCCAGAGTGTTCAGGAAAAACAATGTTATGAAGAGTAAATTGTGTGTGTTTTGGAAATCTAATAGTAAGGCATGGGTCACGAGGGAAATTTTCGTCGAGTGTTTGGCCCTAGTGTGAAGAATTACCTCCTGGAAAAGAAATTGGATCTCAAGTGCCTCCTAGTAATGGACCATGCACCTGCTCATCCTCCAAACTTGGATGACCTAATTTTGGAGGAGTTTGGGTTCATCACAGTAAAGTTCTTGCCCCCGAATACCACTCTTCTCCTCCAGCCCATGGACCAGCAGGTCATTGCAAACTTTAAAAAACTCTACACCAAAGCAATGTTTCAAAGGTGCTTTAATGTAACCTCAGACACTCACTTGACCCTAAGAGATTTTTGGAAAGAACACTTCAGCATCCTCCATTGCATAAGCCTTACAGGTAAGGCTTGGGAGGGAGTGACTACCAGGACTTCGAACTCTGCTTGGAGAAAATTGTGGCCATATTGTGTGCACAAGAGAGATATTGAAGGGTTTGGGGCTGACCCTGATGAGCCTATGTCAGTTGTTAAATCCATTGTGACACTGGGGAGTTCCAGGGGGTTGGATGTGAGTTTGGGGGATGGGAAAGTTGGGGAAAAAGCCCCAAACAAAGAGCTCACCACGAGGGGCTGCAAAGCTTCGAGGAAGAGCAATAGACGAGATCAAATCTTCTGCGAGGAGGAGGGAAAAAAGAGGAAGAAGTTGCCTTTTGCAGAAAAAGGGAATTTTTGAAAAGTGGGTTAAGATGGAAGGTTTATGGAGAAAATCACCCTGCAAGGCGTTTTCAAGCCATGTTGGGAATTGTACAGTGACAAAGTCTTGGCCATTTTGGGAGGGGTTA